ACAACAATGATTGAAACTCCGTATCAAAAGAAAAAAAAAAAGAATATCTTTTGAGGCTGGGCACTGTGGCTCATGCCTGTACTTTCAGCACTTTGAGAAGATGAGGCAGGTGGACCACTTGAGGCCAGGAATTCTAGAACAGCCTGGCCAGCACTGAGAAACCCCGTCCCTTCTAAAAATACAAAAAATTAGCCTGTAGTCTCAGCTACTCAGGAGGCTGAGGCAAGAGAATCGCTTGAACCTTGGAGGTGACGGTTGCAGTGAGCCGAGGTTGTGTCACTACACTCCAGCCTGGGAGGCAGAGCGAGACCCTGTCTAAAAAACAAAAAAAGAGTATCTTTGAATTTCAGTTAAGTATTAAATCTTTCTGCCTGTCCCAAAGCAGAAAGCTTATTTACCTGATCAGCGTCTACTGATCATACTTAGAAACAGAAATAACAAGTATGTGCTTTGTGTATATGTAGTTGTGTGTGTGTGTACAAGCATACAGAGTGTGCTTGCCTTGATGTCTATCATCTGAATACAACACTCCCCCTACACCTTCCAGTCTTTTACATATCATTATACCACTGAATAAAATGGGCTTTTCAAAAAAATTGAAAATTCACATAACATACAATGAACCATTTTAAGCACACTTCAGGGTTATGTAGTGTATTTACAATGTTGTGCAATTGCCCCTCTGTCTAGTTTCAAAACTTTTTCATTACCCCAGAAGAACTCCCCATGCTCTGTAAGTAATTACTCCCCATTCCTCCCTCCCCACAGCCCCTGGCAACCTCTAATCTGATTTCTGTCTCTATGGATTTGCCTATTCTGGACATTTCATATGAAAGGAATAAAAAAATGGGCTTTCAGGTTACATAAATCATCTGAAATATTATGTGGTAACTACAAATGTAAACAAGGTAAAAATCTGGGATTTGTCGTCTAAACTGAAATTCTGGAGTTAGGATTTCACAGACTAGAAACATTTCACAAAGAATCCTGAGGACTGATGCTGGGTTATCCTCCTTACATACAAATAAGATCAGTGAAAAAACGTCCTAACAGAAAAGATGTTTTAATACCAAAAAGACAATCTCTCATTTCTAATATGAGGTTACGGGGAACAAGACAATTTCAGAAAGAAAGATAATCCTGTACATTGAACAAATTTAGCTTAATGGAAAACTCACATGACATCACCCTAATCTTTGCCTTTGACAGGTAAGTCCTGTCACTGAGCAGCACAGGTGTCTGGGGTGCCCTCCTTAGCATACGTGAGCCTGCACTTATGGTCAAGAACTGATTTCCCAAAACAAGATAATTTAGGAAAAAACCGGTTTCATCCTGTAAAAGTTCAATCTTTTTGACGGCCAAGATTGACAAGACCCAAATCTATTTTAAGAATCAGCGGCTTTGTGAAAGAAAGCAACAGCTGTGAGTCAGGTGAGGCCATCTTGCCCAGAGAAGAGAGCAGCAGATCAGTGTTGTCCTTTAGTTCTGCTGGGCAGGCTGTGGTCTGGTGAGGCGAGAGGGCAGACGGTTAATGAAACAACTTTTCAAGAACTCCAACAGGCAGGTTTTTGCCTAACTTGGGCCTTTTATGCTGGAGTATGCATTCTGGAGGGTGCATAGAGCCAGAGGATAAACACAATATATATCCTAGAATATCAGTTCTCCATGCAGTTAAAATGTGAAACAAGGCGAGGTACAGTAGCTCATGCCTGTAATCCCAGCACTTTGGAGGGCCAAGGCCGGAAGATCACTTCAGGTCAAGAGTTCTAGACTAGCCTGGCCAACATGGCGAAACCCTGTCTCTACTAAAAATACAAAAATTAGCTGGGTGTGTTGACACACGCCTGTAATCCCAGCTACTCGGGAAGCGAGACACAAGAATCACTTGAACCTGGGAGGTGGAGGTTTCAGTGAGTCGAGGATGGTCGACTGCACTCCAGTCTAGGTGATACAGCAAGACTCCATCTCAAAAAAAAAAAAAAAAAGTTAAACATTTTTACACTTAACCATAATAGTCATGAAACGGAATACTAAATTCAAATAGCTTTTTACAACAAAACCAGAAATTTCAGAAACTTAAACATTTTGGGGGCTCATCGTGGACCATTTCAGACTAAGTGCCCAAGACGTCCTACAGGTTCTCTGCTCAGTCAGAGCAGCTACTGGGGAGATTCCGGGGAGCACTGTCCAAATTTAACTGATTTTAACCCAAGAAAGGCACAGTATTAGGAGAAAGAGACAAGGAGCATTGCTAAGATGATTCTAAAATTCACATGGAAATGCATATATCATTATACCATTGAATGAAATGGACCCAATATACGAAAAGGGGCCTAAAATACCTAAACAATTTTGAAAAAAAGAACAAAGTTGGAGAGTTCACACTTCCTGATTTTAAAGCTTACAACAGAGCTACAGTAATCAAGACAGTGTGGTACAGACATAAGGACAGACATACAGACCAATGGAATAGAGAATCCAGAAATAAACCCTTCCATTTACGACCCACTGATTTTCAACAAGGGTGCCAAACCCATTCAATAGGGGAAATAACTTTTTTTTTTAAACAAATGGTGCTGGGAAAACTGGATATTCACATGTAGATAAATGAAGTTGGACCCTTATCTTACACCCTGTATAAAAACTAACATGAAATGGAACAAAGACCAAAACGTAAGAGAGCTAATATTAAAAAAACTCTTAGAAGAATGTGTAAGAGTAAGTCTGGATTCAACGACGGTTTCATGGCTATAACAACATAAGCACAGGTGAAAGAAGACAAATCAAGATAAACTGGTCTTCCTCCAAATTAAAAATGTGTGCCGCAAATGATACCATCAAGACAGTGAAAAAAACAACCCACGGTATGGGAAAAAATTTGCAAAACGTATCTATGAAAAGGGCTTGGTTCTTGGAGTACATAAAGACTTTGCTGTGACAGCCTTCATTGCCAACTCTGACCACGCCCTTTGGGCCACCCCATACTCTCACCAATCCTTGGTCAGTTCCCTCCTCATTCCTCATGCTTCCTGCTTATTGTTCCCCCTCAATTCTCCAGAGGCTCTTTTCCTGGACCACCAGAAAAACCAAAGCCATGAGGCCCTAGCTTCCCCAACTTCCTTCTTAAATTTCCCTTCCTGCCCCAGAAATTTCTGACCATCCTCTCTGCCACAGATGACACTGAATGTTCTGGTTTTCAGCAGATCTGGTTTTGACAGCTTTATCGTTCACCTACAAAAACTGAACAGGGCTGACCACACAATCAGAGTATCTGAAATACAACAAAACTGGTTCATTCAACTAAATGAAATGCGAACGTGAAAGTTTAGTGAAACCAAATGATGGAATCGGAGGGAGGCCCTGGCTGGAGTCGAGTGGTCACTGAGCTGCACGGTTCCGCCTGCATGCTGTGCTGTTGCCCTCACAGGTGAGCATGTGTACCCTAAACAGCTGGGCAAAAGCTGGGAGCATGTACTCTACGATAAGGACTAGGAAAGTTACCTTTTGACCAAGTCTCAAATCTAAACCCATGATCTTGGCCTTTCGAAACTGTTCTAGCGAGTTAAGTGGCCAAAGTAATAGTAGTAACTTCTGAGACACAGAAAGAGAGCAATGCCCGGCTTCCATAATCAGGTATGCCTCACACTTTTAATGCTAGGCCTTCTTTATATATTTTGAACAAGCAACACACACACACACACACACACACACACACACACACACACACACACACACACACACACACACGGAAAACCCTCTTAGTCTATCCCTCCGCCAAAAGTATCGCTTTCAGTTTCTTCTGTATCTCTTGAGTTTCATCCTGGAACCAAAACAAATTTATTCTTAGCCCAATTTCCCCTCTGTAGTGATGAAGAGGGGGTGAGACACTGCTGCTGTCTTGCCTTCCACTTCACTGCTCTCTGCGGCTCTCCTTTCATCAGTCACAAAGGGATGATACTTGCTTGATATCAACGCTTTTCCAGGACTTCTCTCACCACACTGTGACAACCACCCCCAACACACACCCCAGCAGGCTGAATCATCCCACCTTCCCAACTGCATCCCGGGACCACCAATTATTTATTAAACTTCAGCTAAGCATTGCTTCTTTGGGAAGGCCCTGCTGGGCCCCACTGGGCCTGCTCCCTCCTCCTGAAGCCAGTGCAGACATGCACCCACAGCACCTGTAACACCACCGTTCTTAGCACTAAGCACAGAGCCAACTGCCAAGTAGGCGATTTCTAAATATTTGCAAATGAGAGATATACAACTTTAGGTGGACCTAGGGCAGAAAGTCAAAACTGAATTTTGTTTTCTTCTGGGTTAGGTATAATGTTGTCCTTCCATTTGAAATGAACTCAGACATTTTTTTAGTCTTAATTTTAACCTTGTTTGGGACAACAAAAGGCCCCAGGGTTGCTAACACTTCAATTAACCACAGTACAGAGGCAGAATAAAAAGCAAAGGAGGAGGAAGGAAATCTTCCAAGAGCTTTATTAAACTCAGGAACATGCGCTCATAGGGTTTTTTTCACTACAATGTAAACATCACCTCAATTGTAAATATCAAGCAGTGTCTGTGCTGTCCTACTGTTTCCCTTCAGACAAATGTCTACACCAAAACAGAACCAGTTTCCAGATGAATGCCTCTCTCCCCCATCCCGCAAGAACTCCATGCTATATCATTACTGATAAAAAGAATATATCTAATTTTGTACTAAATCCTAAGAATTACTCATTAAGAATCTTCACCAATGGTAAGTTTATGTTTAGCACGAAAATACTCTTGCCAGCCATGTTTAAAATGCTTGAATGTGAATCTCTCGGGATGTGCCTGCTCCTAAAATCAAGTGGAAAGTCAGTCCTGGAGTCCGTTTCTTCAGCGGAAGCTCTGGGGCTGTGTGAGGGAGCAAGTGGGCACTACTGTGCCTGGCAAGATGACGTAGGGCTCAGATAAGTTAATTTCACCCAGAACCACAAACCCTCAAAGTACAGCCTTACCTTCGTGACCCAGAATCTGCATCTCTTGTTTTTCTAGATGATACCATAAGATCAACTAACCTGGTTTCAGCTGCACTGCACTCTATACCACTGTAAAAAGCTGAGAGCAGAAAGCACCGCGTAGATAGATCCCTGTGATAAAAACACCTGCAAGAGCAGGCTCAATGCATGCTCAGAGAGGTGTGCGCCCAGAACCGTGAGTCAGAAAACCCAAGTGCTGGTCCGGTCTCTGGTCTCTGTCACCAACCCCTTCCTGGACCTCAGGCAAGTTGGAGAACCTCTCTGCTTTGGTTTCTACGACTGTAAAAGTAGGACTAATAATACTTGTTTACTGCCTCATAGGAAAGAGGGCAGCGGTTAATGAAGCCTTTTGCAAGGAGCTTTGAAGATTAAAAAGATTCCAGGGCGCTAATGACAAACAATAACAGACTCTCCATTCTCATTTGGGTATCTATTATGCCATGGGGGAGGGGATACTGAATTGCTCCAAGTAAATTGGTCTTCTAGAATTCTTTTTCTTCTGGCTAAACTACCATTTTGAAAAACCCTAGAAGAGATGAATGATTGTAATGCTTGGAATATCAGATAATACAAAAGAAATCCAAAACGGCTGGCTGATGCTTTAATTTCACTGTCCCGACTGCTCTGCCTGGGTTCTGCAGCCCTGCTCGGTGGTATAAATATTTACATCCGAAGCATGTGTTAGTTACTATGGATGCCATAGCGAAGGCTATTAGCTTGGCTGTTAAGTCCCTGTTTGCTGCCAAAGAACCCTTAACTGAACATGCTTCTTAAACTTTGCTTTAGTTTTTAAAAACATTTAAATGTGAAGTAGTATTACAATTATTTGGGGGGTTCCAAGTTTAGTTTACATTTCACTTAAAGGCTCTCCTCCTTTTTACAAAGAAAGGGTGAAAAGGCTCAAGTAAGCAAATGTCTCAGCCCATATGTTACACTAAACAAGACTGTAAGACTGAACTGGTTTTTGTAAGTTGATATTTGGTCTTACATAAACACATGTGTGCATATACACACATAGCCCACCAAAAGATATTTTTCTAATTTATGTAGGCAGTATGATTTATGTTCATTTAATTGGATAATAATTCCAACTCACACAACAATGTGAAAATTCAGGATTAATATTTTGAAAGTTAACATTTAAATGATGCATAAGATTCCAAAGTAAAAATACGCAGAGTTCATATCCATTGATATTAGACTATTTGAATGAGAAAAGTCAGCCCCCACAAAAGTTTACATGTCTTCAAAAGGTCAGTTTCAATACCTGATCATCTCATCAGGATATAAATGAGAAAATAAGAATGCGGTTCTCAAGGGGAAGAAGTGGGGAAGAGACAAAGGATAAGTAAAAAATTTCCCAAAATCATAAATTTAACTTTGGCTTAAATTTAAATGTTTAAGAATACTATAAACACTTATCAACATAATGTCATTTGTGACTTTGTGTAAAATGAAAAAGTATCTCAATTTATTAGATTCTTTAAAAAAAACTCTACCCATTGGCCAATCATTTAGGTTTTCTCCTGGCAGAGCACTTCTCTTAACTAAGAACAAAGTAAGAGGAGAAATGTGCTCACTCTCGTTCCGTGTTTTTCGTCTTCAGGGGTATCAGATTGGAATGCCAATCTCAGCTCCTTTCTTGCAACTTCCTTGAAAATAAGTAATTGAATCAAATGCATTTTTAATGTAATTTATTTGGAGATTGAGGAAAGTATGGTGACTTAAGAACCTCAGTAACTAGTGACACCATTAGGCCTTCACCTTAGCTCTGACAGCTCCAGATTCCTGTATGATTTGATTGAATAATTTAGGAAGCGATCTGTGTGTGTGTGGAGTGGCGGTGGTGGTGGGGGGTGGTCCCTAAATTAGTAAGACCTCAATGTTTTCAACATCTAGTAAAATACTTTCAACAGTGTCAATGACGTTCTCTAAAGGGAAATGTCTCCTCACGACTGGGTCCAAGAATTGAGAAACAGAATTCCACATTTCTAGCAGCTTGGTGAAGCATAAGTGACCTCTGTACTAAAATCAGACAACATGAGGTTTCACTCTGGCCTGGTCATTTTGACACCTGTAAAACTAGCCTAGGGCACCTATGCACAAGGCTGTGGGGGCTGAGCCTCTGTGACAGCTCCATGTCACACTCGCCTCGGCCTCCTAGATGGCTAGTCTGAAAGTTTAAGCCAAATTAACGGAAAAACATGGGAGACCACCTTAAGCACTTATGCGATGTGTGTATACATAGTATAACGCAGGATGATATGATGCTTGAAGCGTTATGAACTGAGAGAGCTATCAAGATACTAAAAACGTATAGAAGGTTACTAAAACTACTCATGTCAACTTTTTAAAGAAATGAAACAAAAAATGCTACATACTCTGTGAATAAATACATACTTATATTATTTAGGTGGATAAATACACAAACACACACACCCCCAGCAGGGAGAAAATGGTAGGGAATGACACACAGCAAACTCCAGGCAACAGTCACTCTGAGATGTAGGGGTGGCAGGCCCATCTCCGGGGGTAAGCTTAGGGAATTTCAGTTTTATTTGCAATGAAGAAAAAATGTAAAGGTGGCTGTATTCACATATTAACTGATTACTTGATGATGTCTTAAAAAGAAAAGATTTGAAAAACACAGAAGAAAACTGACCAAGGCAGGGGGCAGGCTCAGGGTTGGCTGGGCCCTGGATGCTCTTGACTCTCACAGTCCCAGAGACCAGTTGAGATGATTCAGCTGACTACTTAAACTTATTTTTTTTAGAGAAAAGAGGAAAAAACCACAGAGGCTTGAGGCTTGGTAAAAACAGGGTGGCGTGCACCTCTAGTCCCAGCTGCTTGGGAGGCTGAGGCAGGAGAATTGTTTGAACCCGGGAGGTGGAGGTTGCAGTAAGCCGAGATCGCCCCACTACACTCCTGCCTGGCGCCTGGTGACAAAGCAAAACTGTCTCAAAAACAAAACAAAACAAACACACAAACAAAAAAACAGGGTCAGAGTCATATCCAGCCCATTCTAGGAAGATTTCCTAGGCCAAGGGTTTTCCATTTTTTGGGTGTCAAGACCTACTTACATTCTTAGAAAGTACGGAGAACCCTGAAGAGCTCTGATTATGCAAGTTATAGCCATTGTTATTGACCATATTTGAGAATTTAAAAAATATTTACTTATTCATCTAAATTAGCAATACATTCATTTCATATTAAATAACATGAATATAATCTTATTTTCAAAAAGAAACCAGCAAGAAAATGGCCCCGTTTTACATTTTTGCATGTATCTTCAATGCTCAACTTAACAGAAGACACGCAGATCTGCCAATGTGTTTGTGTGTTTAATTTGCTGTGATATGCTATTTTGGTTCAAGCATAAGTAAAGAAACACCCCAGGCTCAGATAGACATGTCTGGTGGGAAAAGGGAAGTTTTAATAGCCTTTTCAAAAAAATTGCCAATGGTTTTCTTTACCAATATTAAAATTCAACAAGTGATAGTTCCTTAAAGATTAATTGCAACGTGGGATCTGAAACCATATTGACGAGCCTTTCAGTTACATCAACAGCTGGCATGTGTCTTACACTCCGCGTGGCTCTTCGCCCACGCCTGTTTTGTAGCATCGTTTGTCAGTCACTGAGAACACTGCTGCATGTGTTGTGCGACCTTCCACTGCATACATCAAGAAACCCCACTTGCTGACGTCACCACCCCTCTCAGCAAAAAAGTTTATGGCACTGGGAGCTGCCATACTTAAACACTGGCAGATAAAAGTTCTCCAAAGTTCACATTTTGCTGGAAAGCTCAAATTTTATCATGGACCAAAAATAGTGTCACAGTTGTTTTCCCCTGAATTAATAAGCTCACTTCACAGATTTTCTAGAAAATATCTCCCAAATATTCAAGTCTTAATAACCACAGTTTGTCTGCTTTTTGTTCTGTCAAGTAAAAATGATTTTACATTACTATTCTCATAATTTACAAGTTCCTGGAAAAAGCGGCTATTTTGGCTCATAACTCACACACCTGCGTGGGTGCTTTTCTTTAAGGTGGTCATTACACTCCAGCATGCTAGAAGGGCTTTATGTGAACTCTGCATTTCATCATACAAAATTAAAAAGGAGGCCAGGTGCAGTGGCTCACACCACTAATCCCGGCACTCTGGGAGGCCAAGGCAGGAGGATCATTTGAACCCAGGAGTTTGCAACCAGCCTGGGCAACATAGTGAGACCCCAGCTCTACCCCCACCCCCACCAAAAAAAAAAAAAGAAAGAAAAGCTGAGGCTGCAGTGAGCTGTGATTGCGCCACTGCACTCCAGCCTGGCCAACGAAAAAACCAAACCCAAACAAAAACAAAATTGAAAAGGTATACAGAGGAGCTGAGATTTAAAACCTAGTAACTTCATGCTTCATCAAGCACATTCTTGGGTCAGACTGGCGTGCCGCCAGCTGAACACCGCTGACCTGCTTAATGAAAGAAAGGTGCCATGTTACTTGCCTTTGCTCGACCAGGGCAAACGTCCACACAGTGAAAGAGGTAAATTGGATCTTGGTAATCCTATGAGACAGTTATGGCCTTGCAAACCCTCTGGAAAGCAGCTCTGCGACCCCAGGGGCCACCGGCTGCCCAGGGTGAACAGTGCTCCATGCAAGTGCTTCAGAGTTCTAAGAGAGCGATTATCAAATGCTACCCCCCTTTGATAAGCCTGACCAACTACATAAAGCTGGGGAAAAAACCCAACAACCCATTCCTAATTATACATGTGTAGAAAGTGTTTACAAATGTAAACACACATATATAGACACCCTCACCACCCACCTCTTCCTTGAGGCCCACCAAGAATAAAGAACCAGCAACTTAGAAGTGGGGGGTGGTTCTTTAGGGCTTCAGGGTCCTTCAGGACTTGTTTCCTAGAGTGAAACATTACTGTTCTCATAATTTGTAAGTTAAAATACCATAATTAGAACACACTGCTCATGAGTAACACAACTAGCGGACAAAAACCCAAGAGTATTATAACAAGGTCACATACACCGATGACAAAGACACTGAAAAATCCTCATCAGTGTTCACAGCTCCAATTCTACTTTTAAACACCAAAATATTAACATTTAAAAACAATTAGGATATAAGGTTACAGTTGAGATCCCACTTATTTCAAACATTAGTTAAAACAACATCTGCATTTAAAAATGACTAAAGGGAAATGACATGTAAAGTCACCCTATTTGAGATTAACCACAGATATCTCTCTTTTTTTTTTTTTTTTTTTTGAGACCGAGTCTCACCCTGTTGCCCAGGCTGGAGCAGTGGCGTGATCTTGGTTCATTGCAACCTCCACCTCTTGGGTTTAAGTGATTCTCCTGTGTCAACCTCCTGAGTAGCTGGGATTACGGGTGCACGCCACCATGCTAGCTAATTTTTTTGTATTTTCAGTAGAGCTGGGGTTTTGCCATGTTTGCCAGGGTAGTCTTGAACTCCTGACCTCAGGTGATCTGCCCTCCTTGGCCTCCCAAAGTGTTGGAAGTACAGGTGTGACCTTCCAAAGTGCTGGTATTACAGGTGTGAGCCACTGTGCCTGTAATACTTTTTAAAGATGAAATTTCTTATGAATGTGATAAAACTTTTTTCTTCAAAAGAGTTAAAGAAGGAAAGATGTATATAAATGCCAATTTCTTATTTTACTCTAGACTTCACGGACTGGACCATAGGAACAGAAAGACTGAACAGGGAGTAGTAAGTATACTCTGAACTGAGGTCGCGGACATGTGCCTAAGACCATGTTAGGAGGTAATTATACACAATCTACAAGCAGAACATAGTACAAACTCCAGAGGTAATGATGATACTAATTTCTTCCGAATGGTGAAATGCCAAGCAATCTACAAGAGATGAAAAGGCTGGGTAAAAGAGAGACAGACAGATGAGCTGTAGAAAAATAAAACAGATTATGGCTAAGTGGCAGGACTCCAGAGTGCCACATACAACCTATGAAAGAGATAACCGTGGCCACCACTAACACTGAGTCTCACGACACTCCAGGTGCCACTTTAAGCTCTTTACACGCATTCACCAGTTTAACTTTCAAAAAACTCCAGAGATAGGCTGTACTATTATTCCCATTTCACGTTCCATTTCTAGGCACAGAGAGTAAGTCACACGCCCAAGACCATTTGGTTAGCCTGGGGTGGGCGGGGTGGGTGGTGGTGACCTGACCCTGGTGTGTGGCTCCTGGTCTTACCCTTAACCACCAAACACCCTGCCTCTTAAAGTGCGGAGGGAACTTTGGTTTCATCTCGTCTTCCAGTATGCCTTAAAATTGGTTACACTCCATAAGACCAATAAAAATGCCGACAAACATCAAAAACGGTAATGCACCCCAAAAACACTGTTTGGAAAGATGGCGTGGCCGTCTGTGCAGCTACCGTGAGTTACAACCAGG